TGGAGATGCCGCCCAAAAGCGATACTATCTTCATCCACCTCCGTGAGAAGCCTCAATATATTTATTTCATCACGAGCAGCATCAGTGTAGTTCGCTCCCAGCTTCACGATCTTTATGGCTACAAACTCGCCAGTCATCATCGACACGCAAAGCCACACTGTAGAAAAATGTCCCCACCCTAGCTTACGGATGACTTTGTAGCGATTCATGTCTGATGTGTACTGATCGCCAATTTTAACTGGATGATAACCACCTGGTCTGTATTCAACAGCGGCTTCCTCAAGACATGTATCATAAGGAACTTGCTCTTCTTCAAGCGTCCCGCACTGAAGATGAAAAACTGAACCTGAACTTTCGAGAGAACCTCGATCAAACTCATCGTGGGTCATAGCCGATGTCATCTCGCTATTTTGCAAAGAGATGCACTCAGTGTGGCAAGCGGTGTACTGGTCATCAGGCACAGCAGTGATGTGGCCTGAAAAATCCAAGGAACTCGACTGATGACGTAGTGGCTGCTCGTGGGTGAAGCTTTGATAGTCGGCTGAGGGCATATTATAGCTGCATGGGAAAATGCCCTTACCATTGCCATTAGTGTCAGAAGTGGATACCTTGCGGCCAAAGTCTAGCTGGACATCGCTGAATGAAGAGGCTAAAGCATCTAGTGACTTTTTCCAGGTGATCTTTTTCTTGATCAATCCACCCAAGTTAAACCTTATTGGTTTCTTTGATAAGGTGATATTAGAGTCGTGCTTTCTATTGGCGATCAACATCTCAGATTTTTGTGTGAATTGTCTGCATCTGTTTTAATTTCAGCAATGAAAGCTAACTTTGAAATAAATATGAACAATGTTTGGCGTTTTTTAAATACGGGATGGCGTAATTAGTGATCTTTGTGGGTGAATCTCTCGCACCGAGTCTGCCGTTTGGAGAGCTTTTTTTCGGGATAGATTATCGCCGCTATCGAAAAAATCCGGTCCGAGTGCGGTTTTACGAGATAAATATGGAGTTGACGAACAGGTCAGTTGATGTGAAACAAGGGAGGTCAAAATGTGAAGATTAAGAAACTGCGAGCAATTGAAGGGAATTAAAGCCGGCCGACTGCGTGAGTGCCGTTGGGTCCGGTAATTTCAAAACGTGCAGCTACCCGGGGAGAAATGAGCTTTTGAGATCTCTGCAGGAGCAGATTTAACCCATGCTGCATTGGCGATAATAAATCGCCGAGCGTGAAATGTGGTGGCGGGGGTGTGGCATTTGGGTGCTCATCTGAGATCTGAGGGGAATAATTCACAGTAAAATTCGGATGAGTGTCGAATTTTGGATTTAGGTAAATTATTCTCAAGATTTAATTAAATTCAGGAAGACACAACAGGAGTGAATGATTTTCAGATGAGTCGCCTCGAGTTGAAGTGAGAAAAAGAAATAGATTAGATAAGGGCTGTGGTGTGACTTCCTACCAGACACGTGATGACGAAATTGGGCGGTGCCTCCACACAAGCCAAGTGGCACAGCTTGCTCTCTCGCTCGCTTACTATCTATGGCTTTAACTTTCCGGTAGTTTCCGTGGGCCGGAACTCTGGCAGACAGTGAAGGTTACGAAAACTATCTGATATTTGTGCTCATATGCGAGTCTGTGGTGTATCGCAACTGCTCAACTGGCATGTAAGCGATGCGCTTGATGGTAGCTTCGAGCACCAGACAAGGGAGGCCTAGACAACGAGAGCTCTACCACTAGTTAATGCATTACTCAATCTGAAGCCCGGTCTGAGGCTTCTTTTTTTGTCTTTACGCTAGAAACAGCTTGTTCGAACGCGAGACTTGGGCTTGAATCCCCACTTGTGGCTTGCTCGCGGCGATTTTGACCCAAAACTTTTGAGCGGAGATCACGCGCGCAGGCTACTCCTCCAAAAGGAAAAAATGTTCGAGCATTAGTGAAACGCACGTAGCGGGGAAAAAGTTTGGTAAAAAGTTTTGCCTATTTGACGGTTACGTTACAAATACCTGCGGAAAGGGTATATCCGAAATCTTTGCTATATCATATTTTTTTTCTCTTTCGGAGTCTTTGGACTTTCTAGTCGAAACTATGACTACCATCAATGTCGGTAGTGATTGTATCTTTGACAGTCTTGATAGTATTGGAGTCCCTAGGAAGTCACTAGATAATTTTTTCATTTCTTCTAATCCACAGATTGTCTTTAAAGGTGCTTTGAATGGTGGCTTCTCGAGACCTTTATGATTTGCTAATGATAAGTTTCCCCCCTATTATCCCGTGTGACGACTGCTTGTTACAACAGCACCATTCAGTACTGTCGAGGTCATTCCTCAAAGTGAGATTTCACTAAGTGCATTGTGCGTGGCATTGTCTCAAGGCATGTTATACCGAATGGGTCATGATAGAGTTCTCGAGATGAAGACAAAATGTCACACAATTCATCACTGGCGAGTAGAGCCTCTTGCAGAATATCCTGGTTGTTGGTAGATTTCCAAGCAAGTCGAGTGTAGCAAACCCGCAATTTTTCGACCTTGTTATCTGGTCTTATTTCACTGAGGTTTCTTCACGTCTTTCCGTTTTATTTTTTCGCTGATGATAAAATTGTCCTGCCACTAACGTTACGCCAGAGAAATACCAGATGCTCAATAATATGCTGAGCCGCGCAGCCTAGAAACAGCTCAAGCGACTTGTGTCTACACATGCCTGATCTTTATGATATCGCTTTAAGTGGGTCATACTGATTGAAAATTTCTTGAAAGCCTCTATTTCTATATACATCTTTTTACCATGATGCTTTCGTCACGCCTGGGATCTGACCGGCCCTGGCCCTTTCTCTAAACGCAGTTCTGTTGAGCTTGAAGTCGCTTATGACGGCTCTCGAATGCCCTGAAGCCACACATCTATCCTTAATCTGCGTTATGCTAGTATAATGTGGCATCGCTGTGAGTTGTAATTGGGCTTCCAACCGGGCCTTAGCTGGTAACTCTGTGTTTCTCGCAATGTACTTCAATGCTTTCCTCGTAACTTCATGCTCGGCGTATTGCAACCTTTTGAACTGGTCCTTGATCACCCTCGCGTTAAGATAACAGTGCTGAGGAAGCTCAAACTTAACTGGAAATCTGAATGGCATTGCTGGGCTGTGGCTACAGACCTTTGCAAAGCTTGACTCGAAACGTTAGTTTTTTCTCATGTGACACCCGTGCACCGGAAGCCAGTTCAGTCGACCCGAGTACTGGGCCATGTATTAAGCAACCTGTTTTCTTTACCCTCTCACCTGATACACCCGATTTATACCCAGGGAGTCAGATTTGCGTATCTTACTTTCTACAAGAGACTTTTTCTATTTAAACACTCGCCAGCTTCGCCAACATGCGCTGATATCCTGGCATGGCAACGTGCCAAATTTGACTACTTCATCATCGCCCCCCCCCCCCCCCCCCCCCCCCCCCCAATGGCAGTACTTCCTCCGCCTACCGCTACTTCACTTTCCATTGGAAATCTCGTCACTCAACTTTTCAATGTCGTATACTAAAAGCTTTCTCAAGACGTTCTTATAAGCCAGATCGTCTCTTGCTTTGCTTGATATAAAGCTTGAGGTTACAAATCCGCGTAAAATTTCGCAACCGGAATCGGCCTCCAAGGAGTGGGGTCTAACATACCAAAAAAGAATTTGAATGAAAATAGCATTTATTACCCCTTAATGCCTGAACATTGGCCGCACTGATTTTTCTTGTCTTCTCAACACTACCTTCATTTACACCTTGATTAGAACACATATGCTCTTTTTATTACTCGCTTGTTTATATTGCCTTTCATTCGCATTTGCAAGCGGCGACCCTTTACAGCTTCAGTCACTAGATGTGCATCGAGTGTGGAAGGTGGATGACATCATTCCTTCTGAGTTAAGCTCATTCAATGTCATATTTGTTAAAAATGAAACGTCAATCATTTTGTCGAGCTTTTTGAATGAGAAGTCCCGTGACCCCCACTTTTTTCAGGAGCTCAAATCATTTTTCGACCCCAAAAAATTGAGGGACAAGTTTGAGCGTAACAGTGAGTACGTTCAAACCCAATACTCGAGAGATTACCTGGGAAGCAACGTCACAGAAACATTTCCAATAGATGGATGTTTTGATAACACTTTGAGCGAGACGGTTAGTCTAGTGACACGATCATACGAGAAAACACAACAAAGACAAGGCGCGCTCAATTTACTCGCTAGTCTTTTGGGAGTTGAGCTAGACGCAGGCACCAATGCCGGTCGAACTGACGTTTTTGAAGAAAAAATCGTTTGCTCCGTCGGGCCCGGCTTGAAGCTTCAGTTGCAGGCAACCGTGGTCAAGAAAAAGATGAGACTACACCGACAAAGAAGTATTTTTTTACACTTGAGTCTCCTAGGTGTATCTAGCTTGATGTATTCGGATTGGCGGGAAGTCGATGGTCCCGTTGAACTTGAACTTCTGATGAAATCTTTGGCATGTGTCACCAACGAAACTTATCTTCGATGTTAATGAAGTCAGTCTGATAGAGAAGTCGGCAAATAAAAGTACATATAGCTTTCAAAAGAACATAAGATAAGCGTGTCAAATACCTTCATTCGAACTTTGTATTTGACAAATCATGCGATTAGCAGACATTCATGTGTTATCTCCCTGAGCTCTGTAAAGAGGCACGGGATGTGAGAGTTGAATTTTGATCAAAGGCCAACCAGGAACGTGCTTATCTATAGACAGACTACATGCATGCGTCTAGTCAGAACACTGAGTAGCTAGGGCCTTCGACTTTCTCAATCCTTAGGTAATCCTCCTTCTCCTAGCCGCTGTATAGGTAGTGTCAACTTGTCCGTATTTTACTTCCTTCCAAAGCCTTTTCCAGATGTCTATTCAAGCCTGGTTGGACCGTGGTGCTTCCTCTTGCCCTTGGGATAAACCTAGACAAAACATGCTCCCATACTCTCTTGGCAGTTATATTATCACCAACTAGACCCTCAAAATTTAAGAAGAAAGAAATCCTCTCGGTGGCCAAGCTGGCTAAGGCGCGAGACTGTAATCTTTGACTGTAATCTTGAGATCGGGTGTTCGACTCACCCCCGGGAGATTTCTTTTTGGCCCCTGATATATTTTTCTCCCACTTTGTCTTCATGGTAAATATTTGAGTTGTTCAAAACAGGAGTTTTCTTGTGGGGAATCAACAATGACGTTTATTATATTCGTGTGCGAACCAGTGCATGACCCCACACTTCTCGCAAACCTGACTGCAATGCGGCTTCGAAAGGATCACAGGAGAAAATGGAGGATCAATTAAAATCTAACTTGACGGAAGACGAGAAAAAGGTATGTGGCCTACCATTTTAATGACTCAAATCCGATTCATTTTACTAATTTACAGGCACACCACATAGCGTCTGAGCAAAAGAGACGGGAGAACATTCGCATGGAGTTCGACCGCATTGTGAACCTCACGCCCGATCTCACGTCACAAGAAAGTCGTTCTGAGTTGAATATTCTTACGAAGAGTGCCGACTACATAGAATCCTTGAAGGAAGAAAACGCGGTTTTGGTAGAAAAGTGCCGAGAACGGGGCATTCACGTGCCGGACAACTTGAAATACAAAGGCCCGGGCATCGCCCATGAGTAGATGTGATGCTGGGCACAAGCAGCTGGACCACGAAGGTAGTTTCGTCTTCTCAGCCGCTCTGGTTGGACGTTCGTGGAAGTGGAAGTGCTGACTCAATAGAGGAGGAAGATGGATGTAGACATTGAGCATAGTTGATAAAGCCAAGAAAACGGTGTTTACTCGGGCATGGCCGAAAACAGTACATTGTGCTCATTTTGCTTTACGTCTAAATCAACGCTATGAACATAAAGTTAGTTTGTTGGGCTAGTCAATGCAAATCTCAAGTTTAGATGATAAATGTTTATGTTAGATATTTGTTTTCAACTTGAAGACTTTTTACCCTTAGCCGAAGAAATGACTTTCTTCTGCATTTCGATCCCTTCAATCTTCAAATGTATTATGTATTGCTAAATGAACAAATCGGGCTACCGTCGGTTGGTGTGCTAAGGCGAGCGCACAGCTCTCTCATGCGCCAGCTGAAAAGTTCGCGACCCTAGTTACCAGACTCAATCACCGGAGCGAGTATCAAGAGCAGCAACCATGAACATAGGCTCTGGCGCACCACAGTCCAAAAGTTTAAAAAGCCCGAATGTTGCTGCAAGTGCGACGGCTTACTTGGCCGGCGGCTCGCCTGATGTTCCTCCAGACATGGCCCTTCTACTCCAAGAACTAGAGGAGGATTTCACAGTGAATAAGACGATAGATCAGTGGACATATATCAATCGCAGGGAGGAGATCATGCAACTGATCAATAGGCTACATCAGCAGCAGAATAGCAATGTGGCCTTGGATCCGCTGAAGCTAGAAAAGATTCTTTTGCCACGGAAAGTCTCGGAACCTTCCACGTTTAACAAGCAAAGCTTGACTAGCATGTTGGGGCAACGTGCAGAAAGCTGCCCCGCAGATAGTGCCTTTATGGTACTAGATGCTAAAGGAAAGGCTCAGCAATCTATACTGTGGGAGAAGCTTTACCTAAAATCTGCCAAAGTTGCGCACGAACTCAAGCATAGAACCCACTTCAAGTCCATTAATACGATTGCTTTGCTATATAAGGAGAGCGAAGTATGTGAATTTGCCGTGGCTCTTTTCGGCTGTTTTATGGCGAATGTCACCGCGATACCTATTCATAACGACATTTCCTTGACGGAGATGTTTGACATTATAAACACCACGTCATCTCTGCTAGTACTAATGTCCGAATCTGTTTCAAAAGAGCTTGAAAAGCTAGGCACCGCCAGTGTGCCTCTAGTTTGGCCATCAAAAATCTGGCGGTTACGGACGACGGATTTGGGCTCAGCTCGGAAATCTGACTTAGAGTCGTTATTGGGGAAGACTAAAAAAGAGAATAACGGGAATGTAAATGATTTGGCCTATGTTGAGTTTTCACGGTCACCGGTTGGCGAATTACGGGGAATCGCCTTGAGTCATCGGACGATCTCACATCAGATGAACTGTTTAGATACGTCCTTACTGAGCTTGCCTGAGTCAGGAGGCAATCTTATTCAGTCTCCCAAGTTTCCGAAACGTGCAAGGAAGGTATTTCTAGCTACTATAGACATACGATTGTCTGTTGGGCTCATCATAGGAATCATGTTCTCGATGTATTCCGGTAATCTTTTAGTCTGGGCACCTCCTAAAGTCATGGAGGTACAGGGCTTATACGCTAACATCATTTCGAAATGTCACGCAAACCTTCTTCTTGCGGACTTTTTGGGGCTTAAGCGGGTCACCTATGATTATCAAAAAGCACCAAATTCCACACGCTACTTTTCGAAGACGCAAAGAGTTGACTTTTCTCTGGTGAAATGGGTACTAGTCGATGCTCTCACAGTTGATGGTGAATTTATCGAGGTCTTGTCTGAACGTTACCTCAAGCCCTTGGGCTGCCCACAATCCCGAAATGCGATCATCCCGATGCTCACCTTGAGTGAGTACGGTGGTATGGTGATATCCATGAGAGACTGGTTGGGCCGGTTCGAAAATATGGGGATCGAGGTGGGTGGTAGCTCTAACGACGATCTATCTTCTGTGATCATTGATAGAAAAGCTCTTTCGCAGAACAGAGTTTGTGTAATCGAAACGAGTCCTTTGGAAGCCGACGAGCAATGTACTGATACTTTGCGTGTGGATGCTTTTGGATATCCCATACCTGACGCTACATTGGCCGTTGTCAACCCCGAGCTGTCTTCCGTGGTACTCAAAGGGGAGTTGGGCGAAATTTGGATCGACAGCCCGTGCTTGTCCGGTGGGTTTTATGGTATGAGAAAAGAATCGAAACTGATCTTTCATGCCAAATGCCGCGGCGCTGGCGGCACCCTAGATATGGAGTTTCTACGCACAGGCTTGCTAGGATTCACATACAACGGTAAGGTTTACATATTGGGACTATATGAGGATAGAATTCGACAAAGGTTTAGCTGGATGGACCACAAATTTCAAAAGAAGCTAAGTCAAAGCGGACAGCTCGAGACAACAATGAGGTATCACTATTCATCTCATCTATTGGCAACATTAGCCAACGAAGTTAGACAGGTCTACGACTGCACCATCTTTGACATATTTATTGGCAATGAATACTTGCCTGTTGCAATAGTCGAAGCGGAGATTGCGAGAAAGGTGATTGATGATGTTGAATCAAGTTCTGGGAATAACCCGAAGTCAAAGGATAAGTTCGATTATAACGCTGTGCCCTTGAACGAGTCTGTGCTTAATGCTATTGCGAAAAGGTGTTTCGATGCATTGAACAAACGGCACCAATTGAGACTTTATTGCGTCGTGGTGGTTGATTGTGACACGTTACCTAAGATCATGAGATCGGGTGGTCTCGAAATCGCGAACATGCTATGCAAAAAGAAGTTTTTGGAAGGAACTTTGCGGTCGGACTTCATAAAGTTTTTTGTTAACCAATCCATTAGTATGATTCCGCGTGGCGAAGATGTCATTGGAGGAATTTGGTCTCCATTTGCATCACAGCTTCGGAACTCATCCTTGCAGAACTTCCCCGCTCAATATTCTACTTTTGACTATCGAGAAAAGACGATCGACGATAAAACTGGAGCTGCACTTACAGACTTCAAAAGCATCATAGACATTTTCAAGTTTCGTGTGACGAGCTCGGGCGATGCCATTGCATTTCAAAATATTGATACTAGCGGCAAGACCAGCTCAAAGCCATTGACTTGGAAAAAATTAGAGCAGAGGGTCTACGCAGCGTGTCAGTACATCATTGAAAAGACGACCTTAAGGGCCAGTCAGTATGTCATTTTGATGTACTCTTTGTCGGAAGAGTTTATCGTAATTCTTTATGCCTGTTTCATGTTGGGGATCATACCAATTCCCATGTTGCCCTTTGATTCAAATAGAATCGGGGAGGATTTTCCCGCCTATGTTGGTGTCATTAAGGATTTTGATGTGCAAGAAGTGTTTGTCAATGATGATGTGGAGAAATTCATGAAGAATGGGCCTGTTGCTGATGCTCTCAAGAAGATGAATCACAGAAGGGTAAAGCCTCTCAGAATAAAAAACACGTCTAAGTTGACAAAACTTTCGAGCGTTGCACACCTCAACTCCAAAATCGCCAAGTATCAGGCAGATGCCAAATTTAGAGATGAGCTGACCACTGCCCTCATCTGGCTCAACTTCACTTCCGATCATTATCGTGTCGGGGCAACCTTGAGCCACAAAAGCATCGTTAACATATGCAAAGTGTTCAAAGAAACCTGCAATCTTTCTTCCAAATCTTCCATAGTTGGTTGCGTCCGCCACTCTGCAGGGATTGGCTTTGTCCAGGCAGCATTATTGGGCGTGTATTTGGGCACCACTACATACCTCAGCTCTCCCGTCAATTTCGCTGGCAACCCCTTGTCTTTTTTCTTGTCGCTTGCCAAGTATAAAGTGAAAGACGTCTTTGTCACTGAGCAAATGTTGAAGTATGCCGTGGCCAAATTTACACCAAAGGGATTCAATTTATCACATTTGAAAAACATGATGATCAATACTGACGGAAGGGTGGAAATCGATTTGCTAAGAAAAATCGCGAATATCTTCCTGCTGGCAAAACTTAATACTGCCTCAATGTCAGCAGTCTACAATCATTGCTTCAATCCGATTATTTCGACTAGATCGTACATGACTGTTGCGCCAGTTGATCTTTTTCTAGATCCCTTAGCCTTGCGGCAGGGTTATATTTCTATTGTCAATCAGGCGGAACATCCAAATGCTTTGAGGGTGCAGGATTCGGGAATGGTACCCGTTTGTACGGAGATTGCAATTGTGAATCCAGAAACTTGCAACATTTGCAAGGAAGGTGAGTTTGGAGAAATTTGGGTCAACTCTGAGGCCAATTTAATCTCTTTCACAAATGGACCGAAGGGGCCAGTTGATAACTTCATCAAGAAGCAATTTGTCGGTAAAATCTTGGGAGACAAATCCGACCGTACTTACCTTCGTACCGGCGACCTAGGCTTCTTGCATCATATCTC